TTCTTGCTTGCTTGCTTGCTTGCTTGGTTGGTTGGTTGGTTGGTTGGCTGGTTGGTTTGTTGGTGGGTGGTTGGCGGTGGTTGGTTGGTGGTTGGTGGTTGGTGGTTGATGGTGGTTGGTTGGCGGTTAGTGATTGGTGGTTGGTGGTACATCAACTTCGGACCTGAAAGCTGCGAGCAGTTGGTGTGTACATGAGGGTCATATATAGGACATGAACTGACATTGATCCCTGAAATCAACCACCCCTGGCCTGATCGATGAAGATGTCATATAGGTGGAGTGTCTGGGTTGGTGTCTGGTTTATAGGGTCCCGTGTCATGTCCCACCTTTGTACCTGTCCAACTTGCTCGGTTTTTGCAGACGACGACGCAGCCACGCGCGCGCGTGAAAGAGCGTGGGGCCTGGTTCCACTGCACTTGGATCCAAGATCAAGGAGACCTGCGGGGCGCTGGTGGGACTGACATGGTGCCATGAAAAGGGGACCACCAAATGGGTTGAACAAAAATCTTCACAGTTTTCTACCCCAAAGGAGATAACCATAGACCTATATAGGGAAAATACAAGCATCACCTTAAGTGAACATCACAGGAAGCTGCTTCTGGTGGAAGATCTTTGGGAAGGCAAAGCTACCATGAAGTGAGGGTGCCGAAGCATGCGGTATCAGTGGACTGACCACATCAATTCAACCATAGTTCTTCAACAACACACACACAATGCGGCTGGCTGGACGGGCCTCAACTTATACTGTTCATACCTCCTCCACACACAGAGACCCGTGGTGATGGAACAACAATATAGAGCGCTGATGGACCACATCTCACTGGGTGCTGCATGGAATCCAAGCCTCCAAATCATCCAAGGCTCTTGAATGTCAACCCCCCCATGTAAAGAGGTGTTTCAATTCAAATGGGCGACCACGACTTCCAAATGCACACGAGACCTGTCAATACCTTCATGATATGATTCTCACGATACCACATAACCCACCATTTCACAACGAAATCGTTCCACCAGCTTTGCCCGCATCTTGTGTGCCAAAGCCATGGCCGAACCAGCCCGAAGTTGACATCAAGAAGCGGGACAAATTTACCCAACATGTTCGGTATTGCCTCTTTCGGAAAACGCCTTTCGACACAGTAGAATTCCCTGGTTCAAATTGAACTGATCTTAGTTCACGAGATAATTCCTAATTAGATCGACACTTGTGTCCACTTTCGTCTTGGCCAATATGCCGCTTCCCAGTTTTAGCACTCGGTTCCTGTCCGAATATGTTCACCGGTTTCTGTATATAGCAATGTTCATCTTTCTGTCTTTAGGTCATCTGTGTCACATCCAAAGACCCACCCAACCCCGTTAGCAAATCCAACAAGGGGAGGTGTGGGCGCGCGCCCAAGAGCCCGCAAGTGAGTGCATTCAAATGGGGCGGGTTGATTAAGCAAAAGTCTACTCTACTCGTGCAGGAGATTGTCCATCAACAGTACTTAAGACTTTAGAACAAAACCCATGCACTTTTAACCATGGCATCAAGAACATCCTACACTCCCTGGAAACATCATCGGCCAACGTGGATGGCGTGGCCCCGAGTTCACATGACCCTTTTCTATACCAAAACAGGCTGTGGTGTTCCACGATCCGATTCCAAGGAGTGTCACGAAGATCGTGTGCAAGACCCTAAGACCCCCCAACCAGTCCATCCAACTAAGAATTGGCAAAACCCGTTTCATATCCGTCTGGAGGACCACAACGTAGAAGTTGACTTAGTATACTCCTCTCTTCCGAGCTCCACAACAACTCGTCTCGACTTCACACCACGTCAGTGGCACGATTCTCCGAACCGCGGGACACCGCGGTGTCCACGGCCGAAACCGAGGTCGTGTGCCTGTCCTGCTGTCATCTGCTTCCTTTGAGGTGAGGAAGTTCGCAAAGACATGACATGACACAGCACCACCTATAGTTTGGGTGGTCTATAGATCCCCCGGCGACTATTTATGGTCCATCGAATTAGCCCAAACTGGGTGGTGGTGATGATGACGAACATGATGCACCTAGTCTTGGAGTTGCTGAAGGAACCTGGAAAAAGTTAATAAATGTTGACCAGGTACGAGGGTTATAGGGAACACAAAAGATCACCACCACCAGCAAAACCAGGTCTTGAGTGCATCGAACCGAGCAGCTCGTTCAGCTCGTTCCTGTCCCTTGAAGAAGCACCTTCTGCGCGAACCACTAAGTCGCGGCACCGTCGCTCACCGGTGCCCGTCCTCGAAAACGACGAGGACACCGAACGGTGGATGGTTTCGGGGGTTGGTCGGGTCTCGGTCAGTGGGTCGCTCCCGACACTGGTCAGCACGGAGTGTCTATGCCGCGCCTCCCGCCGCAGCTCTGGCAATGAAGGGGCCACCACACCCCAGGCTGCCTGGGCGGGCGGTGTTCACACATGGCTGGCTGGGGAACAAAGAAATCAAGCGAAGATGTCAGTTCTATTTCTAATTATATAATATTCTAATGCCAAAAATCCAAGATTTGTGTACTGCAAAGGAATTTAGCGCACCTTGTGCATTTTCCGAGAGAATCGTGGGTTATGTGTTCTATGCACGTGTTGCGCTCCAAGAGTGACACGATGTGACCACGATGTGACCACGATGTGACTAGCTGCCTGGGTCCTGTCCATCGTCGGCACTGGGATGTACACTGGAAATACATATGGATACATTCAATACATGCGTAGGGCTGCGTAGTCTGGCACCCCCTGCTCAAACCATGTTCTGAGACCTAGTTTGGCAGTTGTTTGATGTTAAATGACTATTTTGTGACCAGGACATAAAGTCATGCAAAAACAACAAACAAAAACAACCTGACTAAACATGACTGTATCACCCTCTTGCCAGCACCCACCCTCTTGCCGGAAGAAAATGGTGGCGTTGTGTGACCACGCATTTCATGGGGTAGCAAACCATTTGGCAGATCGGCGCCGCAAAATGCACCATAGCTGATTAGATGCTATACAACCAAAAATGCAAGCACCGCTAGCTGGCAATCTAGAGATTCTATACCTATAGTGGATGTATATGTTTCCTGCATTTTACATCAAGTTCTTGATGTGAACTCTTGGAATGATGCGTCGCATCGATCTTCCAGAATCCATCGGGCTGACAGATTTACCTACATTGACTCATGACCCTTGAAACATCTTCAAACCAAAAAACGCTCTTGCAATGGATTCTTTGGGTCTGCGTTTTTCGCATCTTGCCCACCTCATGATACCCGTCTCGTCCGGCGAACCGGCGAAAAAAACGAGGCGTACTACGACGGCGCGAGGCGGTCTCGTCGCGACGCGTCCGCCGTCCGCCGTCCGCCTCTAAAAGCGTTTCGCCCTGCTTTGGAGACGAAAGTTCGCCAAAGGCGGGATCCTCGCAGAGCTCGCGCGCGCTGGCGGACTTTAAGCGGATTCCGGGCTACAAACTGGAGCTCCTCTACCCTGACCAATTACAATGTTTCAGTGTTTCGCTCTTCTCTTTGGCCAGACCTCCGGGTCACGATGCCCAAAGCACAGGGACTTGGGTTCCCAGCCGCGGAGATCACCAACAAGAGATTCTTCAAAGACCTGACTCGTCTCACCCGTAACGCCAACACGTCGCGCCGCGGGACCCGAAACCCCGCGCGATGCGGCTAGCTTCCTGATCCGGAGCTAAGGCCCTAAGTAGTACCCAGACACTCCATGTATGCCATACCTAGATCTTCAGTCCGGCACTTTTACAGGGTCCGGCGCCGGACTTCCAACTCCGGCGTTTTTCTGGATTTGGTCCGGCGGTTTTTCCAAGTCACTTGAAATGTGGATTCTCAAGGCTTTGCATTCTTTGTGGCTTGCATTTCTTTGAAGGTAATGATTTGCTTGCAAAGTGTGCTCATTTGCCTGTTCCGCTGTTTTCTCATTCCACCGGTTTCAGCATGGTTCACACTGGATCAATCAGATCCGTTTAGGTGATCTTCTAAGTGAAATCGGATGAAATTGGTACAGTGCGATGCACGTGTTGAAAGACCCAAGTGGGAGTACCTAAGCTGAAAGAACATAGGCAAAGATGTACTCCCACTGTTTCAGGATGTCGGGGCGCTGGGATATAATTAGTTCTAGTTGCGCAGGTTTGCAGAGCCTGCCGGACAAGTTTTGGGCTGTGGAACATGTGTTGTTCAGAATCTCAATGTTTTGCAGAGAGTGGCTAATAAAAATTGCACGTCGTAACTCCGGCGTTTTTTCCCGTAACTCCGGCGTAATTTCCCGTAACTCCGGCGTAATTTCCCGTAACTCCCGCGTATTTTGTTGGACTCAGTCTTTTGAATTTTGAAAAGTTTTTCAACTAAGAGTTTCGACAGGAACCATGAGTGCTGCTATTTTATTGGCGGGGCCGTCCTGAGGCAAGCAATAAAAAACAATTTAAAACCATATAAGAATCATGGAGAGCCACTTTGTAAAAAAGAATTAGAGACACGGGTGCAGAGAAATAGGGGTTCCTTGCCACATACTCCTTGGTTTCTTCTTGGAAGTCTTTGCTTGGGCACAAGTTTGCTTATATTTTGTGATGGTTCTGCTCTTAGGCCATTCGGAAGATGGGCGAGGGCAATGGGAACGGGAAGGCTCCAGTGCTGGGTTGTGGAATGAGTGTGTTCCAGAAAAAACTACTTGTGGCGCAAAGGCAGTTTGCTTGTGTATGATCCAGCCTTTTATCATCTCTGTTTTTCAGAATGTTGGATCCGGATGTTTTTTCAGGTCTCCGGCGCTTTTTTCGGAATCCGGCGGAAAAATTTGCCGGATTGAGGTCCGGCACTTTTTTCCGCCCAAAGGAGGATCCAGGTATATGCCTACATTGGGCTGGTTTGAGGGGTCAATGTAGGTATATATGGCATACATGGAGTGTCTGGGGTATAGTACTAGTCCATTGGGCACTCACTGGATGTTCCCGGTATAGATATTGAAATGCACCTCTTCGCCAGTTGGTGGGGGGCGAAAGAAGACGACGTCAGACGGACTCAAGCATCCATGGAGTGATAGTGAAAGTACTTACATTGACCCCTGAAACCGAAACCACCCCAATATTAACTGTATATATATATGCATAATATGCCAGTTTCATGGAATATATATATTATATCGTGGATGAAGGAACTTGACACTGAGTCAGGGCCGAATGGTCCCTCTTCTAGCATTGGAGACCCTGAGTCTTTGCCCGAAAAAAAGTTGCGTGACCGCACAGTTTGTTTTCAGGATCAATACGGACTCTGAAACCGCTCACCTCCCCCCCAAAAAATCGTATATATATATATATATGCAGGCTGCAGGAATATGAAGTTTCCTGACTCCATGACGCAGGAAGAGCGACGTTCAGAACAAATTAACAGCTGGAACAGGTTCACTTCGCCAGTTCACTTCCCTCAACTCAACCACGCTTCAACTCCTGTCGGCTGGGAAAGTTGTAGTGAGAGTTTGAGACTAGATGGCGCAGTCCCCAAAAGGTACTTGTTTATATGGACCTCCATATAAAAAACATCTTGGGGTGTGCCATCTATTCTGAAACCACTGTACATGGCAGGTGCCTAAAACCTTGAGATATTCTCCGAACGGTCCCTCCCGGCGGAGGCAGCAACAAACTGTAACCAACTTTGCAGTATGGGGACCTTATCGTCCTTTTCACTCCTTATCGTTTTGCCAGGGATCCGCTACCTGTTCAAAACAAGGGCAACCCAACAACAACTTTCTGAGTAGAAGTTTCTTTCTTCTACCTCAAGAGATGCTTCAATTCCAACGAGGGTTGATTGTTCGTCAAGGGTCAAGAGTCTACATTAGCCCTGGGGCTCCAGTCGTACCGAACTGCTTCGGTTCGGTATGACTGAACCCTCCAAGACCACCCACCTCAGCCCCACTTTCTCAGGCTCGGTAGGGAAGAAGGAGCCCTACAAGTAGGGTAGGGAACAGCTTTGGAACAAAGGCCCTCGACCTCATCGGAGCGACCTTCTTCAGCTTCCTCAGCCTCCAGGCTCGACCAGCGGCTCACGTGAAGTCTCCACCGTGGCCTCAGTCCCACGAACGCCTCGTTTCGACTCCTGTTTCGGGGCACGGAGGTGCTGGAGAAGAAGCGAAATCCTACAAGTTCAGTCCGGTTTTGGTGAAACACCTCCTTTTGTCGCAGTGCTTTTGGTGTGACCAAGATCTCTTTCATGAGGCAACTTGTGACAGGAAAAGGAGTAAGAATAAGGAGTAAGAATCCAACACCCAAAGATCTCCCAAAACCCATGGGATTCGTGGTCCGTTCTGATGTTTCAATCGCCTTTTTCTTCCACCCGTCGATCCAGGACGGTGACCCTGGGCCCCGAACTGGTCGTCCCATTAGCGGTTGGGTTCGGGACCCGGTCATGGTGTTCACGGAGCGTCTGGGCAGTCCATATTCCATGAAAGTCACATGACTTGTGTAGAGACATATGTTCCAGTTAAGGATTATGGATCTTTGGGGAGGTTTTTCTGTTGGGAGGGTGACTCTACCGCGTTTCAACTGGTGGCTTGTGTTCTTCTGGGGGGTTATTGCTATGATGCTGGTAGTGAATCTTCGGCAAGTGAATAGCAGCCTGTCCACCGGATAGGTCCATGCATGTCCACCGCACCTTCTCCAAAAGAAAGACCTCAAGGGATGTTTGACAACCCTTCATGGTTATCTTTTGCTTGCCTTAATGACCTGGTGTGTATGACCTGATAATGATAAGTACTATGCTTGAACTTATGTTAGTGCAGCAAAGTCAGGATGATTCAGAGAACTCAATCAGTTCCGCCTCTCGCTCCGTGTCGATGTCTCCCCCGGACAGACTGAAACCGGCGGTGGTGGGTGAAACTGGCGGGCCTCGCTGACCAGGATGTGGAGGAGCCGTAAGAAGAGCACCGAAAAGCCTTCCTGACCACTGGAGGTCGCCCACCGATGTGACCCAGCGAGGTGGGGTAGCGAAAGCATTCCGGAACGCCTGCTTTTGATTAGAAAGGGCCATATCTTCAGTGATTTTCCGGTCCCCAGTAGTAGGTCACTCAGGTTCTAATATACCCTGGATCTTGAAAAACAATGAAAAACCTATGCAACTGTTCGGCCTTCAGCTTCTTGTTGGTGCTAAAGGACAGGACAAACATCCGACGCCTCCCATCCGAACAAGTCATCTGCACCCCTTCGGAACTTCGATGCAGAACGGCTCCACATCTCGACGAGGCGTGTCGTCGACTGCAACAGCCTTCGCTACATCGAAGCATGGGGCAGAGAAGACCAAGGTCGTACACATGCATAACCCAGACACGACTAATGGGACTGCCATATATGCCTATGGCAGATATGCCTATGGCAGTCCCCTGGTGTGTCTGGGTAATATACCAGCACTCGCAGTCGGGGTGGTAGACATGGACACCCCTTTTCACAGCTAGTTGGGGCCATAAATAGACACCCGACAGGAGGGTCCTGGTATAAAAGTCCTTAGTATTCGGATTCCCTGTTTAATGAATGAATCGTTTCTTTGGCATTTGAACCGTGCCTCCAAACCCCCTTTTGCGCCATCAAGACCCATTCGGCACGTGAATGTTGTCGGGGAGCGACAGATGTGCGGCCGCGAGCGCCGCCCTAAGTGGACTCCGCCCGAGTCCTAAGGGAAGTAGGAGAAGCTGCCCACGTGAGAGACCCTCCAAATCCCTCGATGTTTCGTCTGTTGAGTTGTATATATATATATATGTTTGCTTTTGTTCGTGTTTGAGTGTCCTGGAAACCTGGAAGACTTTGCTAAGATCTCTCTATTGCACCATCTTCTTCCTATAGAGTTCCTATAGTCTGCCGAACCCTACACAGATTCATGTATTCCCTGAAATCATCATGGTTACGTGGATGGCCATGGAAATCCTCTACATCGGGCCTAACTGATCCAAAAAAAACGTTAGGACCAAACAGGAGAGAAGTTCTTCCCTCCACGTTCCCACGTCAGTGACCATCTCCTCCTCTCCATATGAGTGAACAACCAATCTCTCAATATGGTTACCATATCTCACCATGTGGTGGTATTTTTGCGCTCACTGTTCTACGCATCCCATGTGGTTGTATCTGACCCTTCTCCGCCTTCTCCCCCTCGCGCCACAAGAACCTCCTCGCCGAAACCCCTCGCGTTTCCCGGCGAATCCCACGCGCCGGCGAGGTCTTCAGCCACTGGGACCTGGGCCGAGGTCGGCCCGCGCGTGGGAAGGAGTTAGAGTGGACCATAGGAGAGGTCCAGTCTTACTCCTAAAGTTGTTGAAGAGACCTCATAATGGAAAGTATAAATTAAGAACAACCTAATAGCCTAGTGTACCTCATTTGGATACAACGTTAGGAGTAAGACTGGACTGGCAGAAAAGACCATATGCCTGTTTTTGATTCCTGCAGCTGCAGGGCAAAACGGAACAGTTCTCGAAAAAACAGGCAGGCACAGCCGCACAGCCACTCATGAAGGTGGCTAAAATGCTTGCCAAGAGCTCATGTTTCCCATGAGAAGATGATGAGCCTTGCGTTTTCTCCTGAGCTTTCCCGCATGTGAGTGAGAAGCACACGACCTGAGTGACGCGCGGCGGCGTCGTGTCGGCGGCCAGTCGTGCGGGTCTTCTGTCTCACGTCGTCCGCAGGGCGTCCAACGGATCGTTCCAAAGCTGATTGGTGCGATCAAGTGGGGAATGAGGATGGCGAATTCCCCACGGCAATGAGGATGGCTGGGACCCTGATTCCTTTCTTCATCGCACCAGGTTGCCATATCTCAGCAGGAAGTCCAAGTCCAAAGATCAAAAGAAGAAACAAAAACAGCATTCAACCCCGGAATGTCAGTGGACAGTGGAGACTCTTTTCCAAACAGCCTACCATGGTTATCAACAGTGCCTACCTGCTTTGTGAAACGACCCACGTGGCGGCCAGGTAAAACGACAATGCCCCCAGGTCTTGGTGAACATCGATGTAAAAAAACACAGTGGTTTCAGAGGTTCGATAGCACTGGTACCCCTACATGTCCTTTAGATGGGGGTCCATATAAACCACCGACATTGGGGTCTGTGCCATCTGCTCTGAAACCACTGTACTACTCGCGTCTACAGTCCATATATATTATATATATATATATATATATATATGAGTTGGGTCTATCCGAGTCTACCTGGGCCCAGTGGATGATGATGGTTAGGTTGCAGGCCTTGTTCAAAAAAAGATGATTTGATTGTTAACTGACTGTTACAGGTATTAGGACAGACCCTATATATGAGGATGTTTTGTGCCAAACTACTAAAAACTATGTGTCGTATCATTGGAAAACATCCAGTAAGATCATCTCCAACTACGCACCCCTCAGCCCTCAGCAAAACAGCAGGTGTTTGCAGTTTGCCACAAAAACACACACACCTGAAAGGACATCGAGCAAATATCTAGAACTAATCAACCAATCCAACTGACTGTAAATCCATGTATTATATACATAACCCAATCGTCGTTGCCATTAAACACACAAACTTAAAAGATCCGCATGTGTCAAAGGTGTTTTTGACCTGGTCATCCACACGTGTTCCTGCACACGTCGGCACATCGATTTCCTGTCCTACAAGGGTTCTTTCTCCATCCATCCCGTGCGGGTCATTCGAATAAAGACAAAGCCTCGACCCCAAATAAAAACTAGACAAAAAACAGAACATTATTATCACACATCCCTAAGAAGAGGAAACAATAATTATTAACAAAAGAAACCCATAATTTGATATGTGTGTTATTTTGGTGATGGATGGTCTCACGGATTTGTCCACGTGATTTGGCAGCCAATTTGCCGGTTGACATATGGTGTCCAATGGAAAAAAACATGTGTTACATACAATATGGGTGTGCATGAAAAATAGGGAGAACATAGACCAGTCTCCTCATTGGGCTAGGTGCCTCCGTATTGAAATTCACACCCATATGGTTTGGAACCAACATACCAGTTGGGTGTCCCAACAGACCAGTTGCGCAGCATTTGCTTGTCGCAAGGCTGCCACATCCTGTTGCAAGACACTTGGGCATCTGCACGGCATCACGGTTGAGGAAAGAACGTTCTCCATGCTAAGCATGGTGTGAAACATGATGCTCAATGAGGGGTTCATTCATCCACACTAGCCTGCTGATTCCATTGGATTCCTTTGCACTGCCGCGCAACAAGTTCTGATGTGGTCATGATGCAGCTCTGCATGTTGAACTGCACTTGCCCAAGGCCCTCACAACGACGTGTCGCAACTGTACGCAAAGAACCATGAGTACAAATTGCTTGCTTGCACGCAATAACTCCTGTCTCACGACAACCCCGATCAAGCCCCTGAGGTCCTCTGCAAGACTGCCTCCTGTGTGGCTCGTGGCGAAAGCTAGCGGCCCCCAAAAAGGTTGCAATGAGAAGGGCACCCGCGAATTCTTGATCAACCAGCGAAATCCCAGACGCAAAAGCGCTGCGACCACAAGCAGCAAAACCAGTAGCCATTAGCCCTAGATTGCTCAAGGAAATGATCTCCGTGGCTATCTCCGCGTTCTTTGCATCACACACCATTACCATGGCATGTACACAACCCATACCATGTCGAACCCTTCCACAAATGAACATTCGTCTGCAGGGGGGTTAGACTCTCCCATCCCATCTCCTCTTGAAGGGGCTTGAAGCAAAGGGAAGAGCACCTCCCGGGTTGGCGCGTTGCCACAGTGAGCTGCGAATTCTACTGAAATCTGCAAGTTCCTGAGGTCTTGCTTCTTGAGAAAGCCTCATATGGCCGTGGGTCATCACCAGGATACCGACTAGTTGACCTACTGACGTTACCGGGATCGCTCACCTTCTACACGCCTTCCTAGGCCCTTCGGCACATGCCGGGTACCAGGCAACTGTGGTACACAACACATCCACTGAACAAAGGTTAAGAAAAGAAACTCAGGCAAAGGTAAGAGGCTGGAAGGGGCTCCAGGATTTGACCCATCATATGAAACTGAAACAACAGCCTCAAAGAAACACACCGGTTTCATGCGGCACATCAGTACATCCTCTAATGACTCTAATGTTTAGAAGAGAAGAATCACACATGTTCAATTTTGACTTGCCTTTTACAGGAATATCCACCCTGAGAGGTGGTTGAGACAGATTGAAACTAGGATTTGCATCCAAACGATGCAAGCATATTGCCATCTCAAAACTGCAAGGAACCAAATACGTAAATGTGGACCTAGAACATCCTAGAACCTGTTTGACCCCTTTTTTGAGAGGAGAACAGAAGATCTTGGGTCTTTTTGGGTGCATGGCAGTGCTTGGTGGTCGATATGTCGAGGTCACTGACTTCACCTTGTGAACTCACCCCACTCCAACATCAAACACCCCACTCCATATATCTCTGGACATCCACATCTGGTGCGCGCAACCCATGCCATGCGACGGCGCACATGCCATGCGAAGGTGCCAAGCATCCGAATCACTTGGATGGCAAGCTTCAGAATCCCAGGACTAAAATCTTGCAAACAAAAAAATCACCAGGTCATTCACCCCATAGGGAAAATCACCCCAGATGCAACACCAAGATCAAGTTGCATTTCCACCTGGCCTGTTCCAAACATTCCTTCCACGCTGCAAACTCCAGCTCTTCCTGAGCAGGACGAGCTGGAACCCCCCTCTAACGCCTCTCTTCCACAGGAAAAGATCCAAAAAGTCCAGCGGTCTACCCTAGACCGAACGGACCACGTCACTAGTGACGGGGTAGCCTGTACCCCTCCTGAGGGTGTCCCTGAAAGACCCTTCTTCATGTTCTGAGACAACCATCCCGCAATTGGACGTTGGTGATCACGCAGTCTGAACAAATAAAACTAGACAAAAAGACAACTCAAAAGATGACGATGACCTGTGTGGGACCGGCATATATATATATATATGTTCCCTAGGCTTCCAACCACCATTAATTTAATAGGCTTTACCGAACCACCATGATTTTACATTACAAAGCCAGGTAAACCATTTTTTTGCTGGTCTTGGAAGTCTAGGGTACTACCTGGTACTACCTTAATAAACCAAGAACAACTTCTGAGAGGTTCGACCATGGATTTGTCGAAGGCACAGATTGGATAAATATGAACACCAAACCCCCGTGCAACATCGGCCATGTTCAATGAAGATGTGAAGATGTTTGATATCCACCTAGACCCTGAGTGACCTCTAGTTCAAACCATCATGATGGAACTTCCGATCAAAACAGGGCTCATGCCTGGAATTATAGGCATCTATACTTATACAAGGCTGGTCTTCTTCGACGATGTTCACCGCCTTTCACCAGCGGTTTGGTCTCACGATCCTTCCATGCTGTCCAACGCAACGAAGAAGGGCACCCAAGGCACCCACGGCACCCACGGAGCACCAAGG